TTTTGACATATGCCTATATTCAGTTTTACATATCTTATTGAGAAATTTTACATGCATGTTCATCATGACTATTGGACTATACCTTTCATTTTGTTGTGTCTTTACCTGGTCTCAGTATTACAGTAATACTGACTTTGTAGAAAGGGTCTGGAAGTATTCCTCTGTTTCTATTTATTAAAATAATTTATGAAGTTTTGGTTGAATAAATCTTAAAATTTGTCCAATTCTTTTAGATTTTATAATTTAATGGAGTATAGGTATTAAAGTATTTCCTTTAAAAATTATGAATTCCTTCATTGTTTGTTGTAATGTTTCCTCATTCAATTCTTATCTGTTAATTAATTTGGGTCTTCTTTGTTTTTGTTTTTTTTTTAGTTGGGATAAGGTTCTGTGGATTTTCTTTATCTTTTCAATGAATCAGCTCTTAGATTCATTGATTCTTTGTATTTTTATTTATATTGCATTAATGTATGCTTTGATTTTTATACATTATAGGCATCTCCTGGATTTGGGAATTTTTCCTTGTTTTCACAAATATTGAGTTGCACCATTAAGTCATTTTTTCCCTATTTCTGATTTTCTTGTTGTAGGCATGCAGAGGTTTGAAGTTTCATTCAATGCTTTAATGTGTCCCAGAGGTTTTGTTGTGTTATGCTTTCATTTTTGTTTAATTCTAGGAAATATTTTATTCATTTCTTGATTTCATCTTTGATTTCTTCATTATATTAATGAGTTGTTTAATATCTGTGAGTTTTAGTAATTGATAGAAATTTGTTTGCTGTGGATTTCAAGCTTTGTAGCATTGTGGTCAGAGAGGCACACAGAGTTATTTCATGTTTTCTGGATGTGTGAAAATTTGTGTGTGCACGTTCTGCATCTGACAGGAGCTTCCATTGGCTGATGAGAAGAATACGTATTCTTTGGTATTTGAGTATAATAGTCTATAGATGTGCATTAGGTACATTTAAGATAAGATGTAATTTAATACTGCGATTTCTCTGTTCATTTTCTTCTGATGTATAGGAGGAGAAAGGGGGTATTAAAGTCACCTAATATTACATAATTGGAAGTAATACGTGTCTTAAAGTTCAGTAATACATTTATGATGAAACAGAGTGTGCTAGGATTTGGTGAAGCATGTTTAGAATTGTAATGTCTTCTTGGTTAAGTGTTTCCTTGATTAGGATGAAGTGTCTCTCTCTATCTCTTTTGATTAACTTTAGTTTGACATCTACTTTGACAGTTATTTGGATAGCAATATTTGCTTCTTGGTCTCATTTTCTTGGAATATTTTGCCCCCATTCTTTCACATTAAAGTGGTATCTATATTTGAAAGTAAGATTTCTTACCTAGGCAACAGAAAACATGGATTTTGTTTATTAAACAAACATGTGCCTTTTGGTTGGAGGCTTAAGGGCCATACACATTTAAAGTTATTACAAAAGTATGTGTTGATTTTTGTCATTTTGATTTTGTTGTCCCTTGCTATTTGTGTTTTTAGTAGTATTTTGTTTTTCAGTAATTCTAAATTTGTTTGTTTTCTTTCCATAGTCTATTGGCTATGCTTATTCCTCTCTTTACTCCAAAGTGTTGTGCCCCATAGTCTCAGTAGGAATGGTTTGGTGGACATATTAATTCTTTTACATTGTTTATACCATGGAAAGTTTTTCTTTTTTCAACTATGTCAGATATTTTTGATGGGTACAGTAGTCTCATTTGGCAGCTCTAGTCTTTTAGAACTTGAAGTACATTGTGTTCTTCTCACATTTAAAGTTTCCATCAAGAAATAAGGTTTCTGCCTACATCATCTTAGACTCCTGCATCATCACACCTCTTCTCAGAATCTTTGAGAGATGTTACTTGCTAAGCTGCTTTTGTAACTTAATCTCAGGTCTCTGAGTATTCTTCTTCTAGCTATTCCCCTTCTTCCCATCTCTGTCTAGGAACTTATTAAGTTCATATCCACTCCCCTCTCTTTCTCAGAAAATTCTTTCCTTCAATGATTTTCTAATGAATACTTTAAAAAATTAACAGCAGAAAAAGTCTATCTTCTCTTTTGGTGATTTTATTGAAAAGATACCTTGAAAATGAAGAGGAATATTGATTCTGGCCACAAGTCATGTAGCTAAAATTTTTAAACACACTGACTGTTCTAAACATATTAGTCATACCTTACATGTCAATGAACTTAAAAAAAACAAGGCCTAGTTCAAGGCATTAACCTATAGATGATAGACTACACAATGGCAGCATAATTCTACAAGCCTGTAGCACCCACAAACAACAGAACAAATTTCACGTGTTCCTGGTTTTCCTTACCAAATCTTACTACAACATCTGGAGTACATAAAGCTATGTATTTTCCTCCATTATCTGAATATTCTTCCAAAAACTAGAGAACAGTGTTTTTATAAATATTTTAGACACACAACTTAATTAAATTCATCTAGAATGAATGATTTTCAAATACAAAGAAAGGTAGACCTTTACCTAAATTAGTATTGAAATAATAATTGTTTTGAAAATCTAATAAACTACTGGCCTGGTAAGTTGTCCAATTTACTAGGAGTAATTAATTATACAGAGGCTGGTAAACCTGTAGTCACAAGTGCCATACATCTTATTCCCAAATATCCTTCAGGTCTTTATACTAATGCACTAATGCTAATGTTGAAGCTGTCCCTAACCTTCTAACCTTAAAGAGCAAAGCACCAGGTCTTATCCTAAGTCCCAAGTGGACATTTTTCTTCATTGTATTGTAGTTGCCATTGCCATTCACACTGCACATTTTATTTTTCATATTTATTTGTGTGTGTGCCTGTTAGAGATAGAGGGGCATGTACACATGGAGGTTAGAGGACAACTTCTTGGATTTGGCTCTTTCCTTCTCCATGAATAGAATTCTGATGGCAGACTTAGCAGCAAGCACCTTTACTTGTTGAGCCATCTTGCCTTTGTAATCTAAACATTCTCTCTGTCAAGAATGCAAGATTTATAAGGTTATGGACTTTGTTTTGTTCACTACCATAGTTCTAGCTCCTGACCACTGCCTGGTACATTCTAATAGATCCCTGGTAACACACTAGCTGAATGCATAAAAAAATTGTGAAAATATGGAGCAAATGACTGAATTAGGGTGGCAAATTCTTAAAAAATTTGTATGGCCTTTGTGAAACAAATTTTGAACAAATACATATGTAATCTGTTAGTACAAGTGGAAGAATGTCTGTTGTGTTTACAATGTATCATGTTATGTATTTATCTAAGGACAGTAAATATTGTCTAATGTAAACTTGGATTTTGATAAAGGTTAAAAATAAATTGATATATGTGAGTTATGCTTGTTTAACATACTTTCTGAAAAATTTAATCTCCCTTTTTAGAATGCCAATTATTCTGAGTCTACGTGAGTAAGTGCTAAAGAGTATTGCATTACTAGCTTTTTACATTACAATAGTTACTTTTTATACTAGGAACAGTAAATATGGTGCAATACAATTTTAATGGGGAAAAGAAAAACCAACTATAGGAAACTACTAAATATTCAAACTCTAAAATCCATTTGTTATAAAATAGCAATAAATTTTAATTTAGGCAATAAAATTTCACATAATAATTGGAAAAAAGAAATAAGGTATTATTTTAATGCCTTTTTGTGTACACATGACTTGATTTTCCTCCTGTACCTTCAATATCTTTGTTAGTATATTTGATATTTTATATACTTATAATTTGTCTTATCTTGTCTATTGTAGTTCTGTTTGAGTCTGTATGAGTGTGTACTTCCAGAATTTGGGAGAAATTTTATTCTATGATCCTGTTGGAGATCTAGCCTATGCCATTGACCTGGTATTCTTCCCTTCATCCATGCCTATATTCAAAGATTTGCTCTTTTCACAGTGCCCCACAGTTTTTGTATATTTCATTAATGATATAAAAAATTCATATTCTTTGTTTGAGTGGTCCTCTTTCTCCACTTTGTCAAGTCCTTATAATCTATATTTTACTTGATCCATTCTACTTGTAATGCTTTGCCCCTGTGAGTCCCATTCAATATTCCTATACCTTTACTCAATTCAGTTTTTAAATCCTGAATTCTCCTCTCCATTTCATTCAGTTGTATGTTTATATTTCCTTGGTTACTATTCAGGCAGTTATTTTTTATCTCCTTTAAATTCATTGAGGTGCTTGTTCACATCTTCTTTAAACTTGAATTCTCCGATAAGGTTTGTTATTGCTTTAAATTCAGTGTTATTGGGACCATCTAGGTAATTCTCTTTAGAAACCTTCCTATGGACCTATGGTCCTATAGACTGGAAGGCTTGGGAATGCATAGTATCTTGGCCTTTCTTACTGCTTGTGTTTTTCTGATGTGACCTGCACATGTAGATTTCTATCATTGGTTGTCTGTCTGACATAAGAGTCTAGCCTGAGAGCTTGTTTGGAGGTTCTTGCAGAGGAGCACAGTTACTCGTATAACCTTGACTGAAGACCAGTCCTGCTCTTCAACTAATTGCTAAGCTTGGGTGGGAGGGTCACAGATGGAGCCCCGAGGGAGGAGGGGAACACCCATTTAGCCAGCCACATCAGCCGAATCAACTTTGGGTATCAATAGGGTGACAGATGTCTCAGCCACATAGAACTCACAGGCGACCCTAAAAGAGTCATCCTCTGTTTGGCTCCAGGAGGTCTGATAGCTGTGTTCACTGTCCAGTTCTGTGTGATCTCCTTGTGCATGCAGTTTGGTGATAAAAATGAAATAAAAGTGACATCATTCAAATTGTGATCATTACTCAGGACCAGGAAGATGTTCTGGATTTTCCAACCTCTTGTTCTAAGCCCTGTACTTCATTCAACCTTACATTTTTAAAAATTTCTTCTAAAAAGAGACATGAAATTCATTTTGATCTGATAGAAATATGCTTTGAAAACATTTTCTTTATTAAAACACTAATTGTATATCCCTCACTTGTCTTTGATGTTCATTCTTCAAATTATTGTCAACTCCTACAGCAGTTGGGCTTATCTGGTTTACAGGTTCCCTGTTGCCTGGTATGGGAAGGGCAACTGGAGCGGAGACAGAATCCTCCATGCTGGAGGCATCGGTATTGGTCTGTTCTGCGTCCAAGACTTGTGAGAATACCAGCACCTACAGGGGGAGAACAGATGTGTTTAGATTTTTACCTGTAACCCCAAAGATTTGAGAACATTTGATAACTGCAAGGCAGACAAACTGGTAGCACACAGGAGATTTCTCTCTTACAGGCAATTGCTATGAAATTAATCTTGAGGCCACTAAGGAAGCCACACCGAAATAGTACAGTATGAAGAGGGGACTCACAAGCCCCCACCCTTAACCAAGGGACTGTTGACAGTGGATAGCTTCTGGGGAAGAAGATTCATTTATTTTTTAAAGTATAGCCCCTGGTAGTCAACCATGCTCCAGTAGATGGTACCAAACCATAAGTATATGTCACCGTGAATTGAATTCAGTGCATTATTTAAAAGGGGGTCATGGATGAGAAGTCGGGAGAGATGACAACATAGAGTTATATCTAGGAGAAGTTGGGGGAAGAGTGGGAGGGTGAATATAACTAAAATACATTGTTTTAATTGAAGGAATTAATAAAATATTATATATGCATATTTTTCTGCCTTAAACTTGCAGGAGGATGTGGTCATGAAGTCTCATCCCTAGCTAAAGAAGCTTTCAAGGGAGGGAAAGTTAGCTTTATTTAAGGGTGTGACCCCTAGTACATCAACTATACCCTAGTGGATGGCCACACACTCAACGGTAGGCAATACTAATTTGATTTATGCTTAAAAAAAGTTGGGTGAGGATGGAATGGGGTGTGAACCTTGGAGGAATTTTGGGAATGGGGTGAACATAATCAAAACACAAAGCATAAAACTGTCAAATAATTAATTGATGCATTAAATATATAGATATATTATGTAATGTTGCATGTATTATGTCATATAATAGTATCTACACAAACACACATATCCATACATATCTTTTCTGCTGTATAAGCATAGGAGGCCCTATGATTGATCAGGCAAATGCTGTGGATTGGCTATTTTTCTACATTCTTAGGGCTCTAGAGATATGTTCAGGGCCTTTATCAGCTAAAACAGTTCATGACCAGTTTGGTAGCATTGTGGAAGATACTTAAGAATATCCTATGCACAGATGGTGTATGAATAATGATGGTGATAATCATGAAACTCTGGGAAAGGAACATTTCATCAGACTAATAAATGGAAAAAAATGAGAATTAGGAAAGAATCAAACATTTTAACTCAACAACCCAGCAAATTACTACAATGAATAACAAAGGGGAAAAATCAAGTACTCAAAACAACCAGGAAAAAATGATTGGAATCAGCACAAACTTCTAACAATAGTCCTAGACACAAATGTCATTAATTTCATAAACGACATGGTGACTTGTTGGCTAAAGACAAGACTCAGCTGTTTGTTGTCTTTAAAAATCAAACTGCACTGGAAAAGACACATAGAAATTGAAAGTGAGAGGATGCAAAGTTATTTTTTAAGTAAATGTAACCAAAATAAAGCTCTAAAACCAAGCAATAGTAGCTATTTTCATACCCAACAAAGCAGACTTTAAACATAAATTAGCCATAAGTGATGAAGAATGTCACAATATAATGATAAGGGGAGCAACCAATCAAGAAGATATCATGAAGGGGATGGGAGGGGTGTAAGAACAAAAAGATCTGGATACTGTCTGAAAGACAGATTATTCAGTATACAACAGTGACCTAAACCTTCGAAATCTTAACAATATAGTTGCTTAAACAAGACCTGTACAATAGCAACAGAGAATTAGATTGGTACAGATAGAGATCCAAATTAGTTTAAGGTCTTTAAAAATTCTATATATATATATATATATATATATATATATATATATATATATAACACTATCAAAGAAGAGGTGATAAATTTGAGAGGGAGTGGAGGAATGTGGGAAGAGTTAGAAGTGGAAAGATTGGGTTAGACATGATACAAATACAGTACTCATGTATGAAGATCTCAAAAAGTTGTAAAGGAAAGATATCATGATTTTAAATATATATTCATCATTTTGGTGGATCTAGTTTCATAGAACAAACACTACTGGGCATGGAGAGAGAAAGAGAGAGAGAGAGAGAGAGAGAGAGAGAGAGAGAGAGAGAGAGAGGAGAGCCAAAATTCAGTGCTAACAGATGATATCAGCACCCTACTGTCAGTAGATAAAATGAACACAGAAACTTTAGAGTAATTGTAACACAGAGCCAGTGATTGTAAAGACAACCATATACTATTCCATCTCAAGGCTCCAAAATATACAAACAAGTTTTAAAAAATAAATGTTGAAATGTTTTTGCATTTCCATTAGATAATATTAGAATAAAATTGGGAATTATCCACAAGAAAACAGATACAAGCACATGAATATACTGAAAAATATGAACTTTGCCCTTGAAAAATCAGTGTGTTACTGGAGAAATGAAAGAAGAAATTAACAACTTCATAGAAGTAAATGAAACGGAATCAACTAGTTACTGTAACCTGTGGATATAGCAATGGCATTATAAGGACATTTGTAGTTATTGTGCTGACAATAAAAAAGACCTCAAGTAAACTAATGACACACCTTGCAGTATTAAAAAATATTACCAACAATCCACACATTAAACTAGTAACAGTAAATGGCAGCCAGAGCTGAAAGTAATGAAGTTTAAGCCAAGAAACAGTGCAAAGTATCAATGAAACAGAATTGTTTCTTTGAAAAGATAATCAAGACAGAGACATTCATAACCACATTAACTAGAATATGAAGTAAAAGAAAGTGAAAATGAAAGCCAATAATATTGAAGATGAATGAGGGAATAATATGTCAGATAATTCTGAAATCCAGAAGGCCACTGAAATCCATAATACCTGGAAAATTATACTGACATGAATTATATACTGTAGAAGAAATGGCATATTCTTAGACACATTTGACCTATAAACATTGAATTGAGATAACGTAGATCCATAGTGAGCAATGAGACAGAAGGTGTAGTTAACAAAGAAAAACTCAAAAATGGAAAAATTTACCACAGTATTCTACCAGGTCTTTAAATAACCTCACACTATTTCATAAAATAAGGAAAAGAATATTTCCAAACTGATTATCCAAAGTAGTTATTAGACCAGTACAAAATTAGATAAAATTTAACAACAAAAGAAACTATATACCAATTTCCTTGATGAACATCAATTAAATCTTTGCAAACTGAATTCAATAACACACTCAAAAGTCAGTACCTAATGATCAAGTGTATTTCATTCCATGTGTGCAAGCATGGTTCAGCGTGTGTGAAATAGGCACAGTGCAGCTCATACATATAATGAAGGGAAAAACTTTTCATGGCCATGACAATAGATGACTTTGGGAAGCTTATTATCCCCTGTGCTAAAACCCTGAAGAAACCAGGAATAGAAGGATCATGCCTCAAAGTAACAAAGTTTAGATGTGGCAAACTCATATCCAACATCATACTGGATGAGGGAAAGTTGATAACATTTCCTTTAATAGCAGGAATGAGATGACTGCATGTACTCTCACCATTCTTATTTAATATAGTATTTATACTAATGACTTCTCTGTTTCACCGATAAAGTATCATGATTAAAAGTAACTTAGAGGAGAAAGGGATTTATTTGGTTTATAGCTGTGGGATTGGGGATAAAGCCCATGACAGTGGGAAGGCCTGGCAACAGTCAAGAAAAGCATAGTGTCAGGAGCAGGGAGCCAGCTGATCATATTCCATCACACAGGAAGCAGGGAGAAAGAACAGGAAATGGAGTGAGTCTATAAACCCCCAGAAGCCAGTGACTTCTTCATCCAGCAAGGCTTCCCCCTTGAAGCTTCCATAATCCACCCCACCAGCGCCATCTACTTGTGACACCATTCATGAACCTATGGGGGAATATTTCTTATTCAAATCATAACATCCTCCCTATGGCCTCCTAAGGCTCATGGTCATCTCATGATGAGAATTCATTTAATCCAACTTTAAAAGTCCTCATAGTCTTTCACAGTCCCAACACTGTTCTAATACCCAGAGTCTCTTCTGAGACTCAAGCCAATCTCTTAACTGTGACCTCTTTAAAAATGACAAAACAAATCACACACTTTCCACATTGAACAGAATATACCTTGCCATATATACAAAATGGAGGAATGTGGGCATAACAAGAAAGATTAGACCAAAGCAAAACTTCAAGCTATCATGAAAAAACAAAATTTTGTAGGTCCACGTACAGCATCTGAAGCCTCAGCTTCAATAGGTTTAGATGGATCTGACCCCCAGCTTTGCTGCCTGCAGCATACATAGTTCTCTTAGGCTGATTTCTTATCCCATTTCCTGTACACACTTCTCCTTGACAGATATCTCATGGCTCTGGCATCTCAAACACCTTGGTATCTCAGCTGCAACCCAGGTTTCACTATGACAGTATCATGCCATGGCCCCTTGGGGATTCCTTGAAGGAACTCTAGCCCTGCTTCACATTGCCTGGTCTCTTTAGTTCTCTGAAACTGCAGAGGAAAAGCCATGACCTCCTTCATTTTGCAAAGTGTTTGTCTTCAAAACAAGTACCACACGAACAACATTGTCAAGTTCTGCTTCCAGTTTGAGATGGCCCCTAGCCACTTGGACCTCAGTTGCAGAAGCTTCTGAATATAGCTCTTTAATAGCATGGAGGCCCATTGAGTGTGGCCTCACACTCTTAACATGGAGGCCCATTGAGTGTGGTCTCACCCTTTTAACATGGAGGTCCATCTAGTGTGACCTCGCCCTCACAGAACATTTCCTATTGTTCTCATGCAGATTGTGCAGCTGTTCTTGAACAATTACAAGCTCTTTTTCAGTGTATGATTGAAGTCTTAGGTTTCCCAGTGACCTTTTCTTCCTAAAATGCACACTTTTTATTTCTTCCTACCATGTTTGTTGCCCCTTGATTGTAGAGCTGTATAATTGTCATCATTAATAACCATGCTGCAGACTCAACCTTGTCCTACGTTGAAATTTCCTTCACAACAAGAAATCAGTCCATTTCTTTTTTTTTTTTTTTTTTTTGGTTTTTCG